CTGGGAGCTTGGGCTGGGGTCTCTGGGCCTATTGGGGGGCTGGGGAGCTTGGGCTGGGGTCTCCGGGCCTATTGGGGGGCCAGGTCTGGGGCTTGGGGTGACCAGGGAGCTTGGGCTGGGGTCTCTGGGCCTATTGGGGGGCCAGGCCTGGGGCTGTGGGTGGCCAGGGAGCTTGGGTTGGGGTCTCCAGGCCTGTCGTGCGGCTGGGGTCTCTGGGTCCACTGAGGGGCTGGGGCTGAGGTCCAGGCCAGGCCTGGGGCTGGGGGTGACCAGGGAGCTTGGGCTGGGGTCTCTGGGCCTGTTGGGAGGCTGGGGGTGGATGGGGGGCTGATCCCAGGGTCTCCAGGCCTGTTGGGGAGCTGGGGCCTGGGTCTCCAAACCCACTGGGGAGCTGGGGCTGGAAGTAGATGAGGGGCTGGGGGCGGATGGAGGGCTGGGGTCTCTGGGCCTGTCGGGAGGCTGGTGCAGGGGGTCTCCAGGATCACTGGCGGGCCGGGGTCTGCACACCCACCAAGGGGACTGTCTTGGGGGGTCCCTGGGGCCAGGGCTCAGGATGGGCAAAGGGCTGGGGCCTCATTGTCTGCCAGGGCTCTGGGGCCGAGCGGGGCCCTGGGCTCTGTGGAGCCCCCCGGGGGCCATCCGGACTGCTGAGGGCCCCCCCACCTCCCCGGCAGCCCCATCGTGCGGCAGATCCGGCAGGACTGCGCCGAGCCCTTCGCCGCCTTCGAGCGCTGCCTCCACGAGAACCAGGCGGCCGTGGGCAACTGCACCGAGCACGTGAACCGCTTCCTGCTGTGCGCCGAGCGCGTGAAGCCCTCGGCCTGAGGCGGCCGGAGCCCTCGTGCCCCTTCCCCGGGCCGCATCCTGGGAGCCGAGCGGCTGGAGYGGGCACGCAGACCTCTGTTCCTGCGTTCCTGCCCTCCTCCTTGACGCCTTGTTTGCAGAAATCCTGCCCTCGTTGCCTCACAAAACGGGACAGAATGCGCGCACCGCTCCAGGTGTGGCAAGCCACGGACATGGATTGTCAGCCAAGTGGTTCCTGTGTAGGTGGAACGGGGGAAAAGGCAGCGCCTTTTTCTCTCCAAGGGTGCTCGAAGGCAACTGCTTGGTCTTTTTTAGCGCTGGCTTGGGCTAAATTGGTGAATTGCGCTGSGTGAAAGCCGTCGTGTCGACTTCGAGTCGTGATTTTCGCCCAGCTCTGCTAACCGAGCGRTTTTGGACAGCCATACGTGCGGAGTGGCTGTTGAAATAGGTCACCCTGTAACACTCGGCGCTGCTGAATGTCTTGCGAACTTCTATAGCGCAATGTTAACGTAAAGAACGTGTTACTAAGTGTATGGAAATGGCCTGAATGTGACAGGCTTCCACGTGCCTTGTAATTAGGGTGCTGCACGCACCCAAAGTCTACCTGATTCTTTTATTTGTGCTGTTTTTGTCATAGGGGATCCCAGGCATTAAAATCCAGCAACAGGAATGAATGGAAACTCTTTCTGTATTCCGGGTACCGTTCCCAAGCTGGCTTTGCTTGGGAAAAAGGGAGCACAGCCCCTGGCCTGGGATGTGGCGCCCGTGGTTCTCTCCACACCGTCTTCGGCAAACCGCTGCATTGCGATCGGGGTGGCAGAGCATTCCTCATCCATCGGCAATCAATGATAGCTCTGGGTTTTGCTTGCAGCGGTCCCATGTTCTTAGCAACATCATGAGGGAATAAATTATGGAACTGAAGTACTGAAGGATCAGCAGGAACCTGCAGGTATGCTTGAATAAGACGGCTGAAAGCAGACCTGTTCCTTGTATTCTCCAGCACTTTCCTTGGTTATTAATTGCAGTGTGTTTTTTATTTTTATACCCGAATCAAACAAAAAATAAGAGTTTTACAAGCTCAAAAAAGAGTTTTAGAAGCTCAAAAGCCAGGTCTAACTTGGCCCATTGATGATGGGAGCTGCTCTCTGACCTGGGCCCCCCACAGTTGAGGTTCTTGCTGAGGCCCAAGTCGGTCCTGGGTTGATGCACCCTAAAACCGGCAGCGTGGGGAGATGTTTTGCGGGGGCAGCCCGTGTCTCGTGCTGCTTTGGAACAGCAGAGGGAGTTCCTGCCGTGGGAATGACGCCGGGAATGACGCGAGCTTGGGAGCGCCGCAGCCAACAGGGGCCTTTAAGTGCAAGGTGGCCACCGGTGCCCTYGGAGGAAGAGCCCGAGGAGGAGGAGATGAAGAGGAGCGAATGAAGAGCGAAGACTCCGAGACCTCTGAGCGTGTTTAGAGAGGAGGCACCTGCTGCTAGAAGAAAAGAGGGGAGACTCTTTCTCGTCTGTCTCTGGAGATGGTTTATACCGGGCGGCACCTGATGAGTCACGACCGGCTGCGGTGGGAATAGCTTTGTGAAGGGTGCCGCCGTGGAGCGCCGCGGGTGCTTCACGCGGTGTTGACATTGTATTGAAATGTCAGCCCGTCAGCAGAAAAGCCGTTTTTCATTATGTTGAAGGTGCAGCGGGCCCCTCCTAAGCCCGGCTGCGCCTCCTCCTTCTCAGGAGCCTGAGCCACGCTTATTGCTAGCCCGGTCGTGTTAACCCTGGAGCTGCCGGGACCTTGTTCCCCATGGGCTCTCCTGGGTCTCTCTAACATCTTACTAGCAAGCAGGAGGAGAGGTAGATGATGAGATGTTGCTCTATCCCACGTGCAATCAAGGACACCAAATTTAATTCTAAGAATATTCTCAATAAAGAAGCAAGAACTGCAAAGGCCCAGGGGGGTTCTCTCCATTCCTGCACCAGCCAACGGTGATGCTGTTGAGGAGTTAATGTCCASGTTTCTGCTAAGCTCAGGTAGGACAGGAGCAAGTGCGGGAAGCTCTTACAGGTAGGACATGGGGAGAAGTCCTCGGGCAACCGAACTAGTAGGTCCAGCTTCATCTCCAAAGACTGCAGAGAGATTCACTTAAATTAATGCCAAGCGGCTGAATCAAGTGAATAAAGTTCCCTTTCCTGGAGCGGGAGACGCAGAGAAAGGGCAAATATTTAGGCCGGGATTCGGGTAGTTTGGTTCTCTCACAAACTCGGACCAGAAATAAGCACTCGAGCCCTGCGGTATCGAGAAGAACCCAGAGGACCAAGYTCTAAGATGCCTGAGAACTGTTAAAAGAGAACTGCAAAACCTTACAGGTCTCACTCAGGGCTAATTGGTCACAAATACCTTTCAGCTGCACAGAAGTGCTTTATTATTATTAATTATTATTTTTATCACTGTAGTAGTTTTGCTTCAAATCGCTTAGCTTCCAGCATGGGTTTCTAGGATTCCTGCTCTCTACTTGGCAAAAAATCTCCTATATTCTGTGTTTTCTGCCCTTCTCATTGTTCTGAACTCCTGTTTTCAGCTATATCTGTGTGTTTTGCCTGGCAGCTGAGCAAACTGGACGCCAGTTTTTCTGCTCAGACTTCCCCATTGTCTCTGTGACCCCGGGGATCGACTAATTCTATGTTCCAGCTCTCTGCTTACTCATCTCTGAAACAAATAACACCTAATTGTATGGGGGGTAACGAGGGATAATTGATTAATATATTGAAGCAGTTCAGAGATGCTAAACTAAGAGAAAGCCAAGGATCATTAGGTAATTCTCTGTTTTTCCTCCCTTTTTTTTCCCCCCTCCTCGGTCGGAATATGAAGACAAGCGTGCCAGGATTTTCCCAACCTGTTGCTTTAACTTCTGCTGCCGTCCCTTCTCCCTTCAAGCGGAACTTCGGCACCAATAAGGTAAATTACACATCCCCTTAGAATGAGGAACTAACCGAAACCACSTCTTTAATTTTTCACCCAGAAAATGCTCTCGTTTTACACTCTGCTTCTCTTACTTAAAGGAGCCATAAATCAGCGCGCTGCTTTGGTGTTGGCGGGCGCGGGGAGAGATTTAGAGGTGCTGGCCGGCCCGGGACCGAGCGGGGCAGCCGGGGAGGGCAGCGAGCCGCATTCCAGTCACACACTCCTGCTTTGCTTGGCTCTTCTCCAGGGAATTCCGAGTCCCTTAAAGCTGGGGRAAAAAAAAAGGGGAGCGCTTTTCATCTAATGGGCTGTCTTGCACCTCGATTTTCCTCTTTGGAGAGGCAGAGTCAGCTGGGAATGGCAGGGTAATGGGCATTCCCAGCAGCTCCTGTGGTTAATTCCCTATTCCTGTTGGGATTGCTCTTCCTCTCTGCAATGGGCATTCCCAGCAGCTCCCGTGGTTAATTCCCTGTTCGCGTTGGGATTGCTCTTCCTTAGTGCAATGCGCATTCCCAGCAGCTCCCGTGGTTAATTCCTCATTCCCGTTGGGATTGCTCTTCCTCAGTGCAATGGGCATTCCCAGCAGCTCCTCTATTTAATTCCTTATTAACGTTGGGATTGCTCTTCCTCCCGCCGCTCGCTCCAACTCCTCCTCGCGGGTTTGCTGCCTCTCTGCGGGGACACGACCAGCTGCCAAGGCCGGTTCCTCGCTTGCTCCAGGATTCCCAGCCCCTGGGAAAGGGCACGTTCTCATGGACTGTGCTCCGGAGAAGCCCAGCACRGGTTTCACCGCGACCACGCGACACTCTATGGACCTGCAAGCAGGTCCATAGCAAGCCCCAGGCTTCCACTTCAAGTTCRGCTTTTATTTTCAAATGTACATGCAAAAAAAAAACCCCAAAACCCAAAAAAACATTGGCACATCACAGCACTAGATCACAATGAGGAGAGGGAAGGGTTTTAGGTGGGCGAAGCTGGCTCCAACGCTTGCAAGAAACAAACCTGCCCACGGTTCACCRTAGAATTCCCTTAAAACTTCACCCAAGCTTAGAGCAGCTCTAGTGCGAGAGCCGCCGGCAGCAAAGCCCAGCTTTAGGAAATGCCGGTCTCCTTTCCCAAGGGTGGCCGGCCACACAACCCAAGTGGAAATCACTGGTGGCAGCAGCTGGGTCTGGGCTTAATGGGTCAAGCCTAGCCTAGAACCCCTATCTAGGTAAATAAATGTCGGAAAATGCTGTTTCTGCAAGAGGCTTCCCATTCTCCCAGGAAAAATAATACCAAAATGTGTGTAAGGGACACAACCCAGGGAGAAAACATGGGATACGGACAGCAAAGGGATGTCCAGCTACGGAATTGCTCCAGGTGACGGCCCCTCAGCAAGCGTCACGGTCACACAGCTCCATGGAGGTGACACGGAGCGGGAGCGAGCCTTGGAAGAGCTGCAGCTCCGCTCCGCATCGTTCCCTAKGTCGGGGCTCTTGAGAAGATGAAGACGTCCCGATAAAAATCCAGGTGTGCCAGGATTGCGTCTCACCCCAAATGCGGGATTATTTAGTTTCTGGGTATCTCCCTCCGTAAGCGCGGCACCGACAGTAATTAGGCATCTTGTATTTTAATTTGGGAGGCTGTGCAGACTTGGAGGTCAAACACGGTGTGTGGACACGTGGGTCAGCCAGCTTCTCTGGTTGCACCTCATGATCGAGATGGGATCTTGGGATCGCTCTTGGGATCGAGATGTAAAAATAGGCTGCTCTTTCCCTTGGGAGCCGTTTTGCCAGTCACTCCGTCCGTTCAAACCATGGGATTGTTTGTTCTGGACACYCTTATCCCTTCAACGGGAATGTTGCAAGCAGCCTCATGGGAACACCCGTCCTTTCTAGCAATCCCAGCTTCCCTTCGCATCTCCGAAGGACCAGATCCTAGACTTGGGTGGTGGGCAGGAGAACAAAGAGCTTCCTTTTGGTAGCAGCTTGGACTTCCATTCTGTGCTCTCTCATGCCTTTTTTAGCTTTTATTACACTCCCCTTGGAGCCCGGCTGCCTCTTGTAGCATTCCGGATGTCTCCAGGGAAAGGTATAGCCAGCGTAGGAAGCCCTGTTGTGGACAGGAGTTACGGGCAAGGCTTTCCTAGCAGGAATAATTTTAGACTGAAAYTGCTTCAGTCTGTTATTTGGAAAAGAAACGCACCAAGTGCCAAGCAATGTGGTTTGGTGAGGAAAATTTCGCTTTTTTTTTTCTGCCCAAAATGGGAATAAACTTATCCTATAGGCAAAGAAGGACGTAAAGGTGAGAGCACGCTGGCTGTGGGACACTTGTCTTGACACCCTTGGATAAGAGAGAGGATAAATGTCCTTTTTGGGGATCCCCACGCACCACCTTTCGACTGCGGCCAAGCGACCACGCGTTTTGTGAGACGCCAAACTCAAAAATTCATCTCGTGCCAATTAACGGGCCGCCACGAGGAAGGTCCCTGGGCAGCAGCGTCATCCATTCGAGAGGTCTCAAGATCTTGGCTTCTCCTGTCCAAAATTCCCCGTGTCCCATGCAGGCCGCGTCGGGGACCCAAGAAGAGCTCAGCTGGAGCCAAGGCTTAAGCGAACACAGCTGGCAGGAGAAGGTGACCTGCTGCTCCGACGGGCAAGGCCGGCTGACTCGACCAGTCTTGGTGTGAAGGCCACACGCTCAGAAGCTTAAAACACTGGACGAACTGCTAAAGTTACAGCTAAACAACATTATACCATCCATCTACTTGTGGGTAGGAACATAAAGGAGAGAAGCAACCCAAGGTCCTCCAGTCTGCGTGGCCGGTCTCCGCGGATTAGCGYGTATGAGCTCGGCAGACGCCGTGGCCTCCTCCGTTGAGCAGTGTTGAGCGAGGGTCTCCGAAGGTCTCAGTCTGSTTTGCTCTCCCTCACCCTCGGTCGGAATTTGGAGCCGTGTCCATCCAAGGACCATTTTCCACGGTCAGGAGGTGAAGTAGGAGCTCTGCATGGAGTAGAGTCGGTCGATGGGGTTGCCCACGCGGGCCTGGAGGAGGTTGGCCTCGGCTGTGGACAGCAGGCAGTCTCCCAGGTGGCTGATGCTGTCACTGTCCATGTCATGAAAAACTCCCTCGGAGTCTACAGGAGGAAGACAAGGGAGAGATGGGTGAGTTCGTCACGAACACCTCATGAACATGAGCCGTTCTGTCACCAAGGTCAAGAAAAACAATGGTCCAGCGCGGGGCTACGAGGATGAGCAGGGACCTGGAGCATCTGCCCTGGGAGGAAGGGCTGGGAGAGCTGGGGCGGTTCAGCCTGAGGAAGAGGAGGCTGAGGGGGGACCCGATTATTGCACAGAATCACAGAATCTTCRAGGTTGGAAGGGACCTCTAGAGATCATCTAGGCCAACCTTCCCGCTCAAGCAGGCACACCTAGAGCATGTGGCATGTGCTCTAGGTCATATATATCCACATATAGATATGGATATCTATATAGATATGGATATATATCTGTAGATATATCTCTACAGAGAGAGAGATATAGATCTATATCATATCTATATGTCTATAGATACCTCAAGGGAGGCAGTGAGGAGGATGGGGCGCCCTCTTTGCAGTGGTGATGATCGATAGGACTAGAGGAAACGGCCACARACTGAAGCACCAAAAGGTCCCCAGGAACTTAAGGAGCAATTCCTTGTCATTGGGGGTGCCCGAGCCCTGGCCCAGGCTGCCCAGGGAGGCTGTGGAGGCTCCTTCCCTGGAGCCCTTCCTGATCCGCTTGGACGCAGCCTGTGCCCATGCTCTGGGGTGGCACTGGGTGATCCCTAGAGGTCCCGGCCACCCTCAAGGGCTCTGTGGCTTTGCGCAAAGCCAAGGCGAGGGGCTTGGCTGCTCTTGGCTTGGAAGCCCCAAGCTGGGCTTCCATAATCTGGACCCTCCAGAGGCTGCAGAGCCGCCGCGGCGCCCTCCTACCGTAGGGGTGCAGGTGGTCTCCGGGCAGCTGGGGCGGCGTGAGCCCCTGCCTGTACAGGTCCGTGCTGTAGCCGTTCTGCTCCAGGGGCAGCAGCGGCTGCTGCGGGAGCCGCGCGTAGGGCACCAGGAGCCCGTCCAGCCCGTGGACACTGCCGCCGTCTGCGGACACAAGGAGCGGGGCGGGTTGGAGAAGAGCGGCTGCAAGAGCGCCCCGTCCATCGCGGTGCTGCAATGAACCRCCGCAGACACGCAGCGGAGAAGGGAAGGTCTTCCTGCGTGGAGACATTCCCTTCTGGGGAACCAAATTGCTTCCCCCGCTGCAATTTCGGCTTGCAGTTTTATGCAGCCGCCCAAAAGGGCGTTGCAAAAAAACTGGGAGGCCTCCCCAAAAAAGGGAAAAGGGAAGGTCGCCCCATTGTTTGCAACGGCCTTTTGGGCGGYTTGCTGGCGTGCACGTTGCCCTGTGCATGCAAGTGCCACCCCCGTGCTGCTCACCCTCGCTGTCCTCGTTGCTCTGCCGGCTGCTGCGCCCCGTCGCTCTCGCGCTGCCCAGGCGCGGGTTGCCCAGCTGCTCCTGCTCCTGCTGCTGCTGCTGCTGCTGCTGCTGCTGCCTGCGCGCGATCTTCTTCATCTGCAAGACGAAGGTGCAGGATTTTTGCAAGATGAAGGTGCAATTTTTTTTGCAAGATGAAAATGCATTTTTTTTGCAAGATGAAAATGCGATTTTTTTTTGCAAGATGAAAATGCAATTTTTTTTTTGCAAGATGAAAATGCAATTTTCTTCATCTGCAAGGTGAAGGTGCAATTTTTTTTGCAAGATGAAGGTGCAATTTCTTTTTGCAAGGTGAAGATGCGATTTTCTTCATCTGCAAGATAAAGGTGCAGGTTTTTGTGCAAGTTGAAGATGCAATTTTCTTCATCTACAAGATGAAGGTACAATTT